GGTGGTCATATGATTGTTAAAAAATACTCTACATTGACACTTTAACACTGTATCCCTTAAACATGGTATCCCTTAAACATGTGTTTAGTTATAGTCAGCGATGGTCTTTGGCAGATTTGAGGCATCCATATTTGTTTTGTTCTCAGGCACTTCTGTAGTAAATGTCAGGTTAAATATATATATTGAAGCCTTCAGAAAAGTTATACCAGTTGGACTTAAAACTTGGCTGTTAACATGAATGGTAGGCCTATTTCCAAGTGAGGATCTGGTAGTTACCTTAACTCCATTATGATGTGAATGCATCATAAGTGTCAGTAAAAACACTGAGTGTGTAAAAGTAGCTGACATGTTCTTTGTCATCCTCATTCTACATTGCTCCAGTCCATAAACAGGTCCTACTAAGATTATCATAATGCAGAATAACAGGGCCTGGGCCTTGACCACCTAAACTGCATCCATTGTTACTGATATTAGTTATATCTGTGTCTGACAAGTCTAAAGAGCCATATAAAAAAGGTCCTTTGCCTTTTTAATTATATGCATTTATTGGCTTGTTGAACAAAGAGTCTGTGGTTGCTTTTCTGCAAAGTTACAAACTATTCAATATTTTTATCTACATCTCCCCTCCATGGGTGCAGAACAATCAGCAGCAAATTCATCTACAAATTTATACCAAGTATCAACACACACACACACACGCCTTCAGATGCCATAGCTCTTCCTCTGTCCTTCAGCTCCACTCCCTTGTGCACCTGCATTTGTCAGCCTCTGTATATCTTCCTGACTTACTCTCTCCTTCTGTTTCTCTCTGGCCTTGTGTGTAAGTACAGCCATGGGAGAAGGGCGAGTATGTGTGGTCATGTCAGGAGATCAAGGCTGCATTTTTCGTCTTGCTTTGGAATAAATCACAAAGAGCTCCATTCCTCCTCGTGAAGTTCCCACAGTACAACACACACACAGTTTATCAGTACAAGAGAGAAACAGCATGTTTAGAGAGGAGATGCTGCAGATATATAATGAAGACAAAAATTTTAAATAGAGTAATGCAGGTCTGGGTGCGCAGGAAGAGAGTGTCCTTGTGAGCTACTGTTCTGCTGACATGTAGGGAGTGGAGTAAAAAGGAATATTATGTCCAAACTGTGCTCATCATTCAACACAAATATAGACAGGAGACTAAACAGATTCATGCCTGTTCCCCTTAATTATTTTTATTGCTAGTCTGTTGACATGACTGACTTTGTAGGTAAAAAGGGAACAGACAGTAACAAGTATCATACTCTTTACTCTGTATTACAGCCTTAATACTGATTTGAAATTAAACAAACATACAACATCAAAAAATATTTGAATGTAACTTTTCTTTATCCCCAGTTAATAAAATAAACCATAATGGAAATTATTTTACTCTTATTTTTCATTTGCTCATTTCATGTTCTTTTTCAGTTATTAACTTATGTAGCGGAGGTCTAGTTAGCGATCTTAAATGGCCGCTAAACAAACTAGCACTAGCTTTACCTTTTTATCTAGCTTTTTGGTCATACTAGTGTAAATAATGTGAGAGACCTCCTACAGCCTCATACACCCATAAAGCTTTTCGTACGCCCCCACCGTTCACCACTGCATAGCAGAAAGCACCAAAGCACACTTATTTTTTTCTCGACCTAGTGGTGACCCTGAGTGGATAGACGGACACACCAGCAACAACTTTCATAGCTATCAGATTTGGAACGTGGGCTTTAATGGAAGGCCTGCATACATGTAAACACCACGTGGGAGACAGAAAGGCAGGAAGACAGAGGCAAATTCAAAGTGAGAAGACACTGGTTGCCAAGATGATGATTATTCTGATGATGCTGATGGCTGCGGTGCTTAAGACAGCAGCAGCCTCAGCGCGGGGCTCAGAGGTGAACATTAAACTTGGGCTTGAGACCAACTTGGCCAAACGTATTGTGGGCTTGTTCTACGAGCTGAGATTTGAGGCCACACAGATTCCCTCCAACATGTCCAGCAACATCACATGCATGTGAGTATAATACACTTGCATAATAGGCTATCTCTGTCAGTATTGGGAGGCAAAAGTTGCAGCCCTTGGATATGTTTACATGTCACTTGCTTGCTGAAATGCTGTCTAGTTTCTCCGCATTAAATTGCATAAATGTGCATCCATAGTTTTCTATTCTTATTATTATTAATAACTGTATTTATTTAAGGGGCACTCCTGTAAAGGTAGTGTACTTCCATTAAGTTGTGGGACTTGCAAAAGACAATTTTAAAAATGAAGGGACAAAGTGAAGCAGCAAAAGCCAATATATCCTGATTTTGGTCTACTAATTGTGAAGCTCCAAATACAATGGATCCTACATTTCCCATAATGCAACTCAATAGCGTCTTTTGCTTGACTTTCAATGCCTTGTAAATAAATATTCACATCTTTGAAATGCCACAATGAGTTTGTAACATTAGAAGGCTTGAAGCTATGGTACAGAATAGTTTATAAAACTGTCTGTACTCCTGTGTTTTGTTGTAGTATCCCTCTCCTCAACCTCACCAATGAAGTAGGTCAATATTACAGAGAATACATCCTGCAATAATATGTTATATTCACCATCTTACTCCAATACAGATACTGACGTTATGCAATGTTTAATTCAAAATTCCATCTTGTGAGCATGCATAATTATTTAGACTCCACCTCTAATGCTTGCTTATCTCCTGTTGGCTCAATTTTCCACTGAACCTGCCAGTGTCATAGAAGGGAGCACATCTGCTCATCTTCACTGACCCAGGGTTACCACAGGGTTCTTGTATTGTGTGTCCCTTAGATCTAACAAATATGTTGAATGCAGCAAAGATTTTGTGTTTGTTTGTTTGGGGATTCAAAAGTGTGCATTAATTACATCCAGGCTTAATAGATTGCAGTCTTCTTTTCCACCGCACATGTCAGCACATTGCTACTTTGCATGTTGCTGCTACCAGATGTCAACCATTGGCATCTTTACTTGCATGTTTGTTTATGTGCATCCCTTTGTTATAAGCCACTCTAATCTGCTGGCCATACTGGTAAAGATGTTGCACCAAAAGCACTCAGTGTATTATATAATTCATTTTAAAATTTTTAAAGAAAATGTTTAAGTATTCCTCTTGTTTCCTTGGATGAGAACATTACTACCATTCTTGTAACTGTACAGTAAAGCTGCTATTGAGAGCTGACTAACTTAACACAAAGACTGGAAACAGAGAGGGCTTTAGAGGTGCTGCAGGGCAGACTGTGTTATCTTTGGACAGAGCCAGGCTAGCATTTTCTCCCAGTTTCCAGTCTTGATGCTAAGCAAAGTTAACTTGCAGCTGGCTGTAACAAAGTGGCAAATAAGCTGATTTTTTTAAATAATAAATTTTACAGTAAGAAGAACATTGTGCTATTTCTTCTTTAAAAAAACATCATAGTGTAGCTTCAACCTACAAATATATTGATTGAAGATAGTGGATAGTGAAATATATTCATTGAAGTCAAGAGAGGGTGATTTCCACTTGGACTTGTTGTTTTGGTCGCTGAAACATTCTGAAGGAATCTCAAGGCCAGATGGGGGAGGAAGTGGGATGATGGGGGGTCAGCATAGAAACTAGGATCACCTGAAGCTTTTGCACAAATATGCACCTTGACCTACAGGAGAACAACGTGCAGATATACATAATCATACTTATAAGAGCTGGATCCTACAAACAGCCAACACACACACACACACACACTCCCTATACACAGTCAAAGAAATACTTTGTGGCAGAAGCAGCAACTGTTCCCAAGAGTGTGCTATGAACTCCCAGATAGCGATGTGTGTGTTCTCATCTATTCTGCTCAAAGGTCAAGGCTCAGGAACACTGAGGATATTTATAAGTATGTAGCAATGGATGGCTGTTTCAGATGTGATCTACAACAACCAGATGCAAAATAAGTTAGTCATAACATTATGAGCACCTGTCTAATACTGTGTGCACAGAAGTCAGTGTGGCAGGTGGTTGGCACTCGGGTCGCTCTGCAGCTCACTGTGAATCCGTTTGCTTCCATGGTTATACTTTCAGGAAGAGCACAAATATGTCAACCATTCAGTGAAAACCTTATGTAAAAGGAGTGAAAGCTGTGGTCACTGAGACAAATCAGCAGCCTCCCCACTCTAGGTGTGATATCGTAGCCACTGATTGTTTCTCTTCATAGAGACCAATGTACTGTGTTTCTCATTTTCAACCATTTTAACAAAGACTGAAACAAAATGGAATCTTTTGAAAGGGATGAATGAAATTGAAAACTTTAATCTACAGTAGTTCAACCTCATTATCACAGAGCCTTGGGCATTCATGACCCTGTCGCCGGTTCACTGTTTGTCCTTCCTTAGACACTGTTGGTAGGTACTACCCACTGCAGACAGGAACACCCAACAAGACCTGCAGTGTGGGAGATGCTCTGACCCAGTCATCAGCCATCACAGTTTGGCCCTTGTTAAAGTCGCTCACATCTTCACGCTTGCCCAAGTTTTCCTGCTTCCAAAGTGTAAACTTCAAGGACTGAATGTTCACTTGCTGCCTAATGTACCCCACACACTGACAGGTGCCATTGTAATGAGATAATCAATGTTATTCACTTCAACACTCAGTGGTCATAATGTTATGGCTGATCAATGGATATAGGCATTCTGTAAACCAAACAGTTTGTTTCTGGCATGAGAAGAAAATTCCCTGTGTGAGTGAGTAAATGTCATGACCACTCACATACAAAGATGAAAATGTTAAAATACTCCCACCCACATCTTCTACACACAACAGAACTGACTTCTAATGATTTCTTACTAAGGATCCCTCTTCAGTGATTACATTCCTGTGATCAGCGTGCTGCTGAGAGCTGAGCTGTGTGGTTATTATTGCATCAACAGGGTAGTTAAGCAGACGCAGATCAGAGTGATTCCCCAGGGCGCCCTCACCAGACTGCAGAAACTCCAGAAACTGTAAGTGTGTGTCTTTTGTTCGTGTTTATTTTTTGATGTGGAACATAATGAACTGAGGAGGTCATAACACTCCAGACATGAATCCTCCAAACAGTCATGACCAGACTTTGCTATTTAATTTGTCTTGACCTGGAACAGATGCAGACTCATATAGGAAACTTGAGAAGCACCAAATGGGTAAATCCCAAATCTCATATAGTATAAACATCAATATCTTCCTCACTTGTGTCCTTTACTTGCGACTTTATTATGCCCACTGAAGATACAAGGAAGAAATTTGAGGAGAGAGGAATCAAGGAAATTCATTTTAGAGAAATGAGACCTTCTTTTCCTTCAATCCTGCATCTGAAGTGTCCAATCACCAACTGATTCTGATGTTGGACCTTAAAAAAAATCAGTGAAAGATGCTCTTGTGTATCTCCTCAATCCTCACTCTTCAGAGCAGGTATATGTCAAAGTCAATTAAAATGTGTGTGTATCTCATACATGCTAAATTAAGTCACTGTTGTTTCTTTTCATAATTATGAAAACAATACAAACCAGGGTAATGGTTAGTGTTGACTTTAGTTCATAACCTTCTACACTGAGAGCTGCCTTGCATGCTGTTTTTGTACTGATCTTGTTACAAAGTGCCTCCACCAGCTGCAGCTGTAGGTTCTTCATGTCAAATGAAGAAGTGACTCTTCAAGCTGAGAAGTGTAAAAGGAAAATAAATCTGTCTGCTCATCAACTTAAAAAACTGTGATCTTTTCAAAGGTACTAGTGTAAGATTAGCAATAAGATGTTAAATACTGTATTGCCTGTCTTGTTTGTGACTGAAGCTTAAATAACATTGAAAAAAAAATCTGTACATGCAGTCACCATTAAAATGATTCCTCTCAAATTTCCCCTTCCTCTTTTTTTCCACTACCTCCAACCTTAGGACCATATCAGAGAACGACATGCTGGAGAGTATTGGTGCATTTGCCTTCACCGGCCTCCTTCACCTCACTAATATGTGCGTATACAGTTTCTTAAAAGTCACTGCTTGTGGCATACAGTATTTTATTGTGCTTGTGTGTTTAGTCTCAGCTATGGAACAAGAAGAGCTGCTGAGAAAACCAATCACCCAAACAGTTTTAGGCTTGGCATGGTGGCAGAGACAAAATATGTACTAAATAAATAAAACCTGACAGCTAAAATTTTTTTGATGTTTATGTCATATTCTTCTTTTATATGTATGTTTTCTTTAGCATCATCTCTAAAAATGTTGCTTTAGAGAGTATTGGAGCTTTTGCTTTCTCCAGTCTCCCAGGACTCACTGAGATGTAAGTATCTCCAACAGGATTGCAGGAAACACTGTCCAGTCATTTATATCAATGAGCACATCACTGTGTGTGTTTCTTTTAGATGGATATCAGCGTCAAAACACCTGACTTACATCCACCCAGATGCATTCAAGAACATAGAGAAACTCCGGTATCTGTGAGTACTGACTGAAACATGCACCGTAGAGATATATGCTTTTCCTGAATTAGTGTTTTGTGAGTCCAACGTGGGACATGGGTGACAGGACCCCCTCACACAGCCATCACAGAGGTCTTTTTTATTAGCTTCAGTCCTTTGGAAGAGAATTTAAATGTCACACTTCATCCCATAGAGGTTTTCTACAGTGTAATTATCCACTATTTCAGTTTGTTAGGAAAAAAAATACTGAATTGGATTGTACATATCTTTGCAGACTCAGTGTTTATGAGGGGCAGTGCATTGCTAAAATCCCTCACTGACATTATCATAACTATTACTCTTGTGTGTGTCCCAGTTCTCACAAACTGGGACACACACAGAGCAAAGTATGGGGAACAGTTTTTAAACTTTTAAACCAGGGCATCTTAGCACAGGAGTGTACCTCCAATATTTCTGAATTTATATGATTAAATATGAATGTATGCCATTGAATTTATGAATAATTGTCATGAATCAAACTATAAAATAAAACTTTTAACTTGTTTACATTTTTATTCATACCTTGTGGTTTAAATCAAAATATGATATTTCAAAACAAGAAATTAAGCCTTCAACTTGCATACAAATGGCAAAAAGCTAACATGATTATAATTAGATATGTATGAGTAAAGGCAAAATAAATTCATGTATGTTTTTAATGGTGAGGCTGAATTTTTAATGTGCTTTTGCCAGACAGTTTTTTTTTAAAAGGGGCTTTTTAAATGTTTGATTTTGCTCTGTCAGTTGATAAATGTTTGTCCTGATTACCACAACATTAACTACATTGTCATTTTTTTCACTGTAACTCACTGCACAGAGTGTCTCTTATTCAGAGGCTGCAGTGTGAATGAAGTAACATTTGGTGGTTAATCTGCACATCACAGGACCATCTCCAACACCGGACTGAGAATTTTTCCAGACTTCACAAAGATCCGCTCTACAGCCCACAGTTTTGTGTTGTAAGTCTCAACACAATATACGAATGAACCATAAATGCGTGCTAAGACACACCCACACACCACTATTCCCACATGCAACTGAACATATAGGGTAATGTATGCACTCAGACTTAAATATGCCCAGAAGGAATCACACCATTAAAAGTAAAACACTGCAGTTAAAACCTACACACGTAGCAGTCCATAGAGAACAAAATATCAGTAATGCAAACCATCTGTCCCAAGACTGTAACCTTTAAAATCCATCTTCAGGCTCCTATCTCAGCTTCAAAAAGGAAACTGATTTGAAGGGGACTGTAGCAAATTTTTGGCACATACATATATTTGCTATTTTCCTATTTCTCTCTCAGTATATGTTGTTTATCATGTGCTTTTGATGTCTGTGCTTCTTAGAGACCTTGAGGATAACATCCACATAGAGAGAGTCCCAACCAATGCCTTCAGAGGCCTCTGCACTCAAACTATCACAGAGATGTAAGAGATTCATCTTTTTTTTAGAAACACACACACACACACCACCCTCACACAGCTCTGAGTGGGCATTACATACACAGTGCTGAATGTTCCCTGAAATGCTCGCTGCCCTCTTTACTGAGTTCTGCCTCTCTCCCTTTATGCACTATTTCTAACGCTCTTTAATGCTATATACACATATTATACATTCTTATTTTTCCATCATCCCCCTTTTTAAGCTGTTGAAAATACAGACACCTTTTGAACCAGGCTCAGTAAATCAGTGACACATTGTCATTTAGCTGGGTACAATTGTTTTTGTTTTGAGTCTCTTTGTGGCAAGGGCGGAGCCAAGGGGGTGGCGCTGGCTACCCTCAGAATTTGATTGGCCTCCTCTGGTGCTACCTCTGGCTGAGTCAAAATGTGATGCTTGTCAGTACTAATGAATGAAAATGAAAAACAAATTGTTCCCTTAAATACAACTAACAATTCTACTGTTTTGTAATTGATAATGGACAAATTAGATTTAGTTTATATCATGCAGGCAGCACAATATTTGCATTCACTTCTCTGACTGTGTTGTTGTGGAGTACTTGGTTCACCTCAGTGGTGGTGATGGGGGGACACCGTGCAGCAGGCTTGGTGGAAATAAGGAGCACAGCCAAAGTTAGCTAATGAAGGCACTGTACGTATCCTATTTTGTGTGTGTGTGTGTGTGTGTGTGTCCCAGTTTGATTCTTAATAATGTATGGTTTATTATTTCATAGAACTAGGGCTTTAATTTATGTTTTACATGTATTTCAAACCTGCCACCCCTCTCTGAGTCTGTGCCCCACCCCGTCCGGTGATGAGTGTACTTGACAGACATGGCATAAAGCTGTCCATCTAACTCTGTCCCTTAAAGTGAATAAGTACCATTTAAAATCAAGAATTTACCTAGTAATGAAGCACTTATTATATAAATTATGCTGCTGCTTCCACCAGTACTGAGTCTCTCTAACAAATGGTGTTTGTCCACATCTTCCAAGGTCCAGATTGGTAAAATTTGCTTGGTGTGTGTTGACTGAAATCCCATGTATTCAAACTGTTTTAGACACTGAGAACAAAAGAATTGCGCTTACTAAAATTAGTTTAGTTCAGATAAGTTACTGCTGGAAATGTTCTGTGTTGGAGCACATGACTGTGATTTGGCTTCTCTTTCTAATGACAGACGGCTCACCAGAAATGGCATCAAGGAGGTGGCAAGTGACGCCTTCAACGACACAAAGATGCACAGATTGTGAGTCACAGACAGAGACACAATTACAAAGAAGAGATTTACAAAAGGAAAAAATAACAGTCAGCTCACACATTTAATTTCTCTCTCTTAGGTTCCTAGGAGGCAACCAACAGCTTACTCACATCAATCCCAATGCTTTTGTGGGTTCCAGTGAGTTGGTGGTACTGTAAGCATGACATTTAACTGTAACTCATGCCTGCATGATTCACTCTCCTCAGCACCACTTAAAATAAGACACAATGTGACATGTGTGGGGAGATTTTTAAAAAAGGCCCATGCCAGGTCTGAGGTAAAAATAAAGCAGGAGCAGGTGAAATGATTTAAATTTAACTTGAGTGAGAGCTTTTTTTTTTTTTTACTGCTTATTCTCCAAAAGACAGACACCTAGAAATCAGAATGGAAGCATCTTCACTCCACTTTCCAACAGTCATTTGACACCCAAACTTTAGCTCTTTCCAAGAATTTTCCATTCAGGACATTTGAGTGTCCGTATTATTCTTACATTTGTGCATCATTTATCTTAAACCCGCTGGAGTCTGTCTTGTCTTCTTTGAAAACACTGAGCACAATTTAGTTTCAGTTACATCATTTCATTTGTGTATATCATGTAGATATGCCAGGGGCTGCAATTGAAAGTGCTGATGTGGGCTTTTTACACAGTAATGTGGGCTATCAAACATTACTATTAGAATTTTTAGACACTCCATTGTTAATATTGTCAGTGATATTCAGACAAACATACATAAACAAAAAATGAGTTGGAATAAAATCACTTTATAAGTCAGTACGCTATATTATACATGTTTCTGCTGTATTTGTATATAAAAATGTTTTTATAATTTGTCAGGTTTGAGATATTTTAACTAAATCTTGTTGCATTTGTGTCTTTGTGTGTGTGTATTTTTGTTCCTTGCATCTTTATATTTTAAATTGACAAAAGACAGACTTAAAGATGAGTTTGTGCAGAAAAAAGATATAGTCTATATAAAGTAAACTCTGTAAACTCTGTTAAATCCTCACTTGTTTGTGCTCATCCTTGCAGGGACATCTCCCACACAGCTCTCAGCTCCCTGCCAGACCCCATCCTCGGTGGACTCCACAGGCTGATCACAGAGTCCGCCTTCTATCTGAAAGAACTTCCTCCTGTTCAGCTCTTCACCAAACTGCGCCATGCTAACCTGACGTACACATCTCACTGCTGCGCCTTCCAAAACATATACAGGAACAGGTATGCACAGTCAAGAGGATTCTGAACACGTTACTGTTAAAGGAATAGTGTCAAGCAACATGGGAAGATTGATTCCACTCTTATGTCTGTGTGGTAAATGTCTTTCTTCTTTTTCTGGAAACTTCTCCTTGGAGTGAACAGAAACAAATTATTATTTCTCTTTATGGGATTAGTGACATTTGTCTCAAAACAAGCCAATTTTAATAATAAAAAAAATAAATAAAAGCTTTGCTTATACAGTAACTATTCTTTCCTGATGTTTTCTAATTTTAAGATATTTACAATGAATTAACAAGTACACTGCATAAGATTTAACCATAAATGATGAGCTGAAGTATATAGTACATAGCAATGTTTTATTTTTGTTTATCATGCCTCATTTTGTACTATTACTGCTCACAGATTCTTGAGTTTGAGGTTTTGTTGAATAAATGTCTAGCAAACCATTCCCAAAAGTGGGAAAATATGAGAGAATGTAAACACAGTTTTGTGTGTTGTTGTGTGTTAGATCCAGGTGGCATGCCCTGTGTTCCCACCCCCATGCTCAGAATAACCCTCACTTCTACAGAGAGTACTGCACCAACTCCACCTCGATCAGCTGCAGCCCTGTGCCAGACGATTTTAACCCCTGTGAGGACATCATGTCCTTCATCTGCCTAAGGGTCCTCATCTGGATCATCTCCATCCTGGCACTGCTGGGGAATGCAATTGTACTCCTTGTATTGTTAGGTATTGAACTGGAAATTCAGAATTTGTATTAAGTCATACTGTACTTCAGGATTTTATATGGAGTTTATATGTTATATTTAAATCCTTTTAAGAAAATATTTCATCTTTATGTTGAGATGTTAAGGTATTAATTTCAGAGGTTAAAGTAACTCAGTACAACTAAACTTTGTACCTGACTACGAATGTGCACTTCACTTCAATATTTCCATTTTATGAAACTTTACTACTCTTTGCTACATTTTGAGAAGCACATACGTATGTATACTCTTTACTACACAGTTATCTAATTACAGTACTTTGTACAAGCTCCACAGAATCAATCTTTTTCTCCTTTCTTTGCTTCCTTTTTGCTTTCCTTTTTCTTTGTTTTATTTTCTTTTTCCTAATTTTCCTTCCTTCTTTTGTATCTCTCCATATTCATGAAATGTTTTTTTCCTCTTATTTACTCCCATTTCTTCTTCAACTGGGTCAAACTGATACTTTGTTTCACAGCTGAATTTGGCTCTGAAGACATTTTGCTGATAATACTTGTTTATCTTTGCTTTTGGGAACTAAAATGTTCTGCTTTGTACTTGTAAAAGAATTTTTCACTGTTGCATTTCCAGGCAGCCCCTCCAAGCTAACTGTTCCTCGGTTCTTCATGTGTCACTTGGCCTTTGCTGACCTCTGCATGGGCATCTACCTGGTAGTCATAGCAACCGTAGACATACTCACTAGTGGCCGGTACTACAACCATGCCATAGACTGGCAGGCAGGCCTGGGCTGCAGCGCTGCAGGCTTCCTTACGGTGTGTATGCATGCATGGAGTTCAGTGCATACATACACTCATCAGTGTACACATTTGAGCTGAACATATGTGCACTTGATTGTTACTTGCAGGTGTTTGCCAGTGAGCTCTCAGTGTTCACATTAACAGCGATCACCCTTGAGCGCTGGCACACCATCACTTACGCCCTAAGGCTCGACTGTAAGCTTCGCCTGAGGCACGCATGTATCGTCATGACAGTAGGCTGGATCTTCTCCTCCCTCACTGCTTTGCTGCCCATTGTTGGGGTCAGCAGCTACAGCAAGGTGGGTGCTTCATTTTCCTTCTCCGGTTTTACTTCGGGGTCTGTCGGAGGTTTCTTCAGTTAAAGGGAGTTTTTCCTCCCCACTGTCTTCAAGTGCTGCTCAAGGGGGGTTTGTTGGGTTTTCCCTCTGTAATAATAGTGATAACACTAAGGTCTAGACCTTATTATTTTCTCAATAATCAATTAAATGCCTGACCCATGAAACACTAGAAAAAAAAGTGAAAAATGCCCATCACAGTTTCCTAGAGCCCAAGGTGGCATCATGAGATGTCTTGTTTGACCAATAGCCCAAAACCCAAGGGTAGAAAATGTTATGTTATTTGAGAGTGACATACAGAAATAGCAAACACAGGGAGCAAGGGGGTGATGGCAAGCGATAAAGCTTCCCCAGTTATTTGTGAAGGTTTCTTTGTTCAATTGAATATGAAGCTAGTCTGGTCTACAAACCTTTTCAGAGGCTTTTACCCAGGGTTTGACAAGTACAGAACTTTGTAGAGTAGCTTTTTTAACCCAGGGTGAAATAAACTACATTCATAGCTGCTGTACACTGTTTGATTTTTGAATATGTGTTTATGTGTCTGTGCCTGTTTGTGGTGCAGGTGAGTATCTGCTTGCCTATGGATGTGGAGTCTCGGGTGTCTCAGGTCTGTGTGGTGTCCGTCCTCCTCCTCAACCTCCTGGCCTTCTTCTGTGTGTGTGGCTGTTACCTCAGCATCTACCTGACGGTCCACAACCCCTCGTCAGCGCCAGCCCATGCGGACACCCGCATAGCCAAACGCATGGCCATCCTTATCTTCACTGACTTCATTTGCATGGCTCCCATCTCCTTCTTTGCAATCTCAGCAGCCCTCAAGTTCCCTCTTATTACCGTCTCAGAGTCTAAATTCCTGCTAGTGATCTTCTATCCATTCAACTCATGTGCCAACCCCCTCCTCTATGCATTCTCCACCCGTAGCTTCAGGCGTGACTTTTTCCTCTTCACAGCTCGCTTTGGCCTGTTTAAAACCCAGGCACAGATTTACCGGACAGAAAGTTCCTCCATGACCTCTCCAAAGAGCAGCCATGTGGTGCTGTACTCCTTGGTCAATACATTAAGTCTAGATGTGAAACAAGGATGTTGACTGTCTTTCAAAAATCTAAAGACTTTTAGCTCGATTGTCAACAGAAGGGTGATATTTCTCTCCCTGTAGAGGTCATATGCAAGTAAAGCTAATTTTTCTTAGCTCCAGTAGAGTAGAACTTTGACCAGAAACACCTCATAAAGTTTCACAGATTCAGAGGTGCACTTCTTTCCACATATGCATGTGTGTGGATCAGACTGCTAAATGCTCATATGAATTGGTTATTGTCATATTTTGTTGATTTTCATGTAGCTTCTAAATGTGTTGCAGATACTGAGTCTTTGGACCTTGTATCTGAAACACAACAATATAAAGCACAAGTGTCAGTGTCCCTGCAAAACCATGTGATGTGTGGGTAAACATTACTCTACAGCTACACAAAGATATCTACAGAACAACCGCAGACACTTGGGCTAGATCTAGGTCAAGAAGCTGTCCTACATAATTCCTTGTGTTTGTTTTAATTTGACTGGGATGCCAGATGGGTGGAGTTTGCTGCATCATAACAATTTAGATAAGTAAAAGTAGGAGCAGTAGGAGAAGTCAGTTGCTTTCACTTTTATGTGTAGTCTTTTGTAACAAACTCCATCCATCTAGCAAAATGAAACATGCTGAATACTTTGGAGCAGTTCAGTAAAGGTTGTGATGCTTTGGATATCAGCATACAGTATGCACATAAAAAAAATCATTCATTTAACATTCAGCTCTATGATATTTATGAAGGAGCACTCTACAGGGACCTACTGATTAACAATCTCCTCATACACTGTTTCTGCTGCTTCCACATCCCATCCTACCCTTCAGGTTCTCTATTTTTTTTTTAAATAAAACATATAATTATCTTTGTAATGTAATTATGTTTATTGTTTGTATATGAATGTACTGCTAAGTGTCACCTTTTTCCATGAGTTCTGTACAAAATATATGTTTGGTATGTTTTTTACTATCATTTTATAAAGATGGTTATTATAGTCTATCTGCTTGAGTAGATTTTGAAAGGTGAAGGTTGTGTGTGAAAGGGAAACACACATACACACACACACACACACACACACACACATACACAACTGAGCTGTCTTTATCTGGAAATGCTGTCCTCCATAGCATCCAGAGCCTTCAAGGACAAAGCGACCCTTCCAATCTCTGCTGTGTGCCAGGGTGAGTGGGTGGTTGTGGGAGGGTAGACTGCACAGCTGCTCTTTCTGCTTATTACAGAAGGATTTATATGGCAGCTAAATAAGAAACACACATGTACACATTTAGAAGTAACACAGGGCTTCGAGGCTGCAGCTGCAAGAAGGAGTCCATCTCATTGATATGGATACGCCGCCTCCTACATGCCAACACTGAACATGTGGGTGCATTTATACACTTTAACCACCAGGTGATGCTACTGATGCAGGATTTATTGTCATCTCTGCTCTGTTAACAACAACAACTTGACAGCAAAGAACACCTTTATAGTGGTTCAGCATGAGGTAAAATTAGTCAGTATGGAGGTTTAGTTTAACAATAAAATGTACTGTTCTCTGTCTTGGCAGCTGGTAGCATTTCTTTCTTCTTTATTTCTTTCTTAGTATGTCTTCACAAAGATGTATTTGCAACAAAACAGACATAAAAACAAAACCAATGTCGAGAGAGAGAGAGAGAATAGCTGTATACATGATTACATCAGTGTATTCAAAAAGAAATGGTGTATTTCTGAAAAAGAGTGACTTCAAGTTTAGATTGAAACTGTCTCAGTAAGGTACTGCTTTGCAGCTCTGGTCAGGAAACTGTCTGAAAATATACCTCGTACAGGTTATAAAAATTCATACAGTAGTTTTATGTGCTCTATTTTTATTCCTTTTATTCCTATTATGTCATTTCAATGAACATTCCTTTGTTTGTCTGCATTGTTTACTGCCTGTTTATACTGCTTATTTTGCATTGTTTGCACTGTTTGTTGCTTGTTATACTGCTTATTTTGTTATATTACACAACCTTATGCTGGTTTACTGTTTAGTTGCCCCTTGCATGGGGATATGTACATACACAGTGAGAGCTAAAGTACCAGAGTCAAATTCCTTGTGTGTCTGACACACCTGGCCAGTAAAACAGATTCTGAAAAACTCTCCTTCTCCTTACTTGACCTTACAGACTATAGTACATGTAATACCAACTAGAGCACTGTGGAATAATGTGACAAACCCAGGCCTACAGAAAAGAGGCTATTAATGTACAGACATCACCATGTTTCTCTATAGTCACTGAAAATTATAGAATATTTACCTGAGGCGTAGCTTGGGAGCTACTTTAAGAAATATCATTCATGGCTTCCTGATGACCTTCAGCTTAACATGTTACACCAAAATCCCTAGTTTGTTCCAGCAAGGTTGTTGCACATCACTCCCATCACCCCTTTCTCTTTTTTCCTGTGTTTCATGTTTGGTTCTCCACTGAAAACTATCTAATAATAAAAGTCCCAAAAAACCTTTAAAAAGTAATATCATCCAGTCAGTAAAATTGCCAGGATCTTGTTTAATCTGGAATAATGCAGAATTAGGATGGCTTTGTTAAGATCAGTAAAGGAAACATTCAGTAATGTCCAGCATGTACTGTTATTTTTCATATAAAAAGTATATGTGTTTACCTTTATTATTTTTCCTAGCACTAAAAATTATTCAAGGGATTAATCACCTCTGTATTGTTCTGTAATGACCATTATATCTATTTGCACTTATTACTAAAATGACTAATTGATTATTTTGTTAAATGTTAAAATTTGTACTAAGATCTCCTACACATAGATCTTCACCAGACAGAACATGCAAAATTAAAAATCAAAGTCCAGAAAAAACCTTGTGACAATATGACAAAACAGTGTCAGTGTTGTGGTTATGTCCTCAAAAGCTTTAGTAATAATGCCTCATAATTTGCAGCCTAACAACGCCCTCTAGTGGTCCTCTTATATAAAATGATAATAACCTTACTGACCAAACTTCTTTATTAAAGTGATACTCCACCCATTCATGCAGAACCTCTTTGTGAAATTGCTGTTAATAATTTTACTTAAATGTCAAAGAGCTCAATTAAAAGACACAGGGTAAACACGAAGGAAAAAATGACCACAAAAAGGCACAAAACGACTACAAGCAGCACATCACTTGGTTTGTATCCCCTTCTGTCTCCTAAGGGGGTTTGGGGACCCAGGGCCCCATTTTCTCATAATCCGTCCATGCTTCCTAAATAGGCAAATAACTAGACAAACGTAGGGTCATTTGTTTATTGTTGATAATGCAGTAACTTTGTAGAAATTATTTAACAGTCTAATCCTGGTCGTTGTGGTTACAGATTATACCAACATGAAGCCTTGACCCTTACTCATTCATGTACACTACGAACTGGGGCTGTGTACATTATTTATACATGTACATTATTTGGAGGAGTACATTATTGCGCCCTTGTATTGATAAAATCTCTGCTTGACCGATTCCGAACCCTAACAGAAAGATTTGTCAGTTGATACGAATCACCCGATTGGTTGTTACAGGAGGAGCTTATGAAATGCTAGATCTGATTGGTCGAATGGACACTGCTTTTTTTCTCGCGATTGTTTCCCGTGTGGGTTAATGGCTCCTCCTGCTACAGACTGAGACGGAGCTGGCACGAAGCAGCGACAGAGGGGAAGCTGTAACACCACGGAGAAAAAAAGGCGAATACACCCCGAATACTAGCGGGTTTTTGGTCGCGGCTGTTTGGGTGTGTTTAGGGAAGAGACTGTACGGGGGGTAGTTTGGGTCGAGGACTAAATTCAGCAGCGGGCGGTCGAGGTCTATTTTTCATCAACCAACTCCCCTGATGAACTCCGTCAGAGCCACCAACAGGAGACCCAGGCGAGTGTCGAGGCCGCGCCCGGTGCAGCCCGAACGGAACAACGGGGATAGAGGTAAGCTAGGCCACAGTCAGCTAATGATGCCGTGTCAGGACATAATAGTCTTCATGTAGCTCTCGTTAATACTTACTAGCCTTTTCTTTATACTAAAAGGCTACGGGTTCAACAGGAAAAAACGAGGCTTCTTTCTCTGTGGCTTAGGCCAGGCCGCGCTTTGTTTGGCTTGAGTGATTGGGGCTAGCTAACACCGCTAGCTATCTTACGAGGTTAGATGGAGGTTGGGGGCTGTCTTCGCCTAACGTAATGCGTATGTAGCTATACGATCAACATTAATAGCGCATAGACAGGTAACCTCATCTTGGAGACGTAGGGATCGACTTCACACGGCCTGACTACAGTCTTCGCGTCTGCTGGGCCTTTGCATTCCCAGCTGTCACTACCGATTCTGAGGGTGTAACGTTAAATCTGCGCACTGCCATTTTTGGGGTGTAACGTTAACTAACAAAATATTAGCAGCGAATGGGGGCAATGCTAGCTAGCTGTCCAGCTACAAGAGGCCACACAGATCAGCTGTGACAGATGATACGGTGTGATTTTTGGATATGTCCATTTGGTATGCTTTAGGCAGCAGATTGACGCTTAAGTAGCCAGCACATTGAGCTTATATCTCTTTCCTTGTTCTCAGTGCCTGCTATCCGTAGCTCTATTTGTTTATACCGCGGGTTTGCCAACTACGCAGTTCAGTTTTTAGCCATTAGCCGCAAGTCTGCGATTTCATCTGCGGCCCTTCGTTTGACAGCACCATAGCAGATTATTGTGATTCCGCTCATATAGTACACAGAGACACATGCCCACCGCCCGATATCAGTTAGGTATGGCTATGCAAGAATGACTGGCAATGGGGCTGAAATGGTGCATTATCAATTACTAACCTTTGTCTGCCTTACCAACTAACTACCCTGCCTGTCAGGCTACACAGTGTGCATGCAGCATGCGAGCTGAATGCACACTATTGTGTCAATAATGACAAGGGGAGTAAAAGTGTCTGTGGTTCAAGCGTTTGCTGCAATCATTGGATAAATTGCGGTGTGTAATTGAGCAAAGGAGAGAAGAGTGGGCTTCTTAAAGAAATACCCTATTTTTTTTTAAATTGCATATTTTTCCTCTATACTGCATCTTTGTGCACTGAAGTGCCTCTTTACTAAGCAGTGTTAAGTATAGCAAATCTGACTTTCTTTCCAGATGAGGAGGCTCCTGCAGCAGCTGCAGCAGAGATGGCTATTGAGGAGTCTGGTCCAGGAGCCCAGAACAGTCCCTACAAGCTTCGACGCAAGACCCTGCTTCCCAAGAGAACCGCTGCTGCCTCTGCCACCACCTCTGCCTGCCCCAGCAAGGGCCCGATGGAGGTTAGACAGAATACATTTTTATGTATTTTTGTTTTAGTATTGCGCGGCAGTATGCTTGCCTACAGACCTGAGTGTGTGTGTGTGTATGTGTATGTGTGAGAGAGTAAGTAAATGACAGTGCATTGCTGAGCTGGTCCTTTTCTGAAGGAACAGTGATTTTGTGACGAAGCAATAAATGTACCCATTGATTACCTAGTCACCGAAACTTAGCATGAAGTTAATATCCTACATGCCCTCTTTTATAGGGAGCTTCCACCTCATCGACAGAAGCCTTTGGCCATAGAGCCAAGCGGGCACGAGTGTCCGGTAAGAGCCACGACCTGCCAGGTGTGTGTTAAATTTCTGCAGCTGGGCAAGGACAGTGTTAGCTGTATTAGTTAAGTCTTTATTGAATTTTATTTTGTTTTTTCCCTCTGTGTGTGTGCCTGTAAATTTTAGTTTGCAATCCATTAAATAATTTGACTCCCTAGTTTAATGTATTTGGAATGAAAGATTTTACCTAAAGCTTACATTATGAGCGTGTGTGTGTGTGTGTGTGTGTGTGTGTGTGTGTGTGTGTGTGTATTTAGCAGCCCCAGCAGAACAGTATCTGCAGCAGAAGCTCCCAGATGAAGTCGTTTTGAAGATCTTCTCCTACTTACTGGAACAGGACCTCTGCCAGGCGGCTTGTGTCTGCAAAAGATTCAGCCAACTAGCCAACGACCCCATCCTATGGTTAGTGCTGCAGAAAATATGGCTGTGTTTTAAATATTAGTCATTAAAAGACAGACAACTCAAATTCTAATATTCTAGGAAGCGACTATACATGGAGGTGTTTGAATACACCCGTCCCATGATGCACCCTGAACCAGGCAAGTTCTACCAAGTCAGCCCTGAGGAACACGAGCACCCAAACCCCTGGAAGGAGAGTTTTCAGCAGCTGGTAAGCTGGTCTCCATAGTTTTGGATGTGTTGCGCTTTCGTGACAATTAATCATTTTGTGGGCATGATTTAGATCCCTGTGCAATCTCCATATCACGTGACAATGATTCTGCCATGTTTGCATTAGCAGTGACATCCCTTGCACCAAACCAAGCACTCCCTTTTCCTCACTAATCTCCATTAACTAATAGGCATGAAGTGATTTATTTCTGCCTCAACTGCTATTTGACTCTAGGTGTACAGGGCAGGCAGCATAGCATTTGAAAAATAGTTGCAGGAGGACCCAAAATCTCTGACCATGTCAAACACATTGGACTTGTTTTTGAATCAGTCTTCCCTCCCTGTCTACAGCTCATCACGTGATGTAATGCTTTCCTGCTATTTGTTAACGCATCTTAGCAAGGAAAAATGAGCGCTTGTTTTGATGCAAGGCATCTCTCTGCTTATGCAAACATGGCAGAATCGTCAAGTTGTCACAAGAGACAGAGATCACACAGGGATCCAAATCACACTCGCTATACAATTAATCGTGCAGCCCTAATGTCTTTGGGTGGAACTTTTTTTTCCACTTCTTTCTTTTTATGTCATCACTTTCTATAGTTATATGCAGTTCTGCAAGGCCATGAATGGCTTTGTAATAAAATCCACTAGGGATACACTCATTTATGGGATGGTTAACAGGACAGGAACCAGAAAAAAATGTTACCTAAATTCAGTTGATTTGTTTTCTGACTTTTTCTAATGAATTATTGGATAAACTAACTTCTTCACTGAAAAAAATCACTGTGATCCATATGCCTAAAAGGTTAGAAGTGCTGATGTACACTGAGTTTCTGTGACAACTTTTTTTGTTGCACATTCCTCCTGTTATGTATTTTCTATTTAGAAAAAAAAAACTTAGTTTAGCGCAAGAAATTCTATATGTGAGTGATACATTTTGCTAAACTAATGACAAAAAAGGGGCAGATTTATGCTTTTTGAACCATGTTAAGGTTTAATGTGTTCAGCAGCAAGTTGTGTTGATCTTGTTTTCTCTGTTGCAGTACAAAGGTGCCCATGTAAAACCAGGCTTTGCTGAACATTTCTACAGTAACCCTGGGAGATATAAAGGCAGAGAAAATATGCTGGTAAGTTAAAACCTTTTAGTTAAATAGAAGCCCTTCAGTACTAATTTGTTTGCAAGGTACAGCTAATGTAAACATCGCTTGCTTTTCCAAACTGCCTTCTGATGAATCGTAGGTGTGTGTCTGTTGAGCCTGAACGTGTTCATGCTTTTCTCCTGCAGTATTATGACACCATTGAGGATGCACTGGGTGGGGTACAAGAGGCCCACTTTGATGGTCTAATCTTTGTTCACTCTGGCATCTATACTGACGAGTGGATTTATATAGAGTCCCCCATTACTATGATTGGTGCAGGTAAGCATGTTGCCTTCACTGAAAACCTCTTAAAACATTAACTTGATGCCGGTGCCGCATGCAATCAATATCTTAAGGTGGGGATATGCAGTCAATGTTGTTTGTCCATATGTATGAGGGTGTTAATGAATATTTTCTGCTTCCCCCTCAGCTCCTGGTAAAGTAGCAGATAAGGTGGTGATAGAGAATACCAGAGACTCAACATTTGTCTTTATGGAGGGTTCAGAGGATGCCTACGTTGGATACATGACCATCAAGGTAAACACAGATATCACCTTTACCTTCGTTTGAATTTTTTTTCCAGTCTTGGAGAATAGCTGTGTATTAAAGACCCTGTCTTATGGTCCCATCACAGTTGAGCAGTGGAAAAAGTCCAGCATAGTCTCCAATTTATTATTTATATATAGTTGAGGATAAAATTATTTCCCTAATGGGTTTTTTGTGAATGTGTTGTAAGCAAGAAAAAAAAAATCCCACAAGTCTAACGATAGACACAGGCCTTATAAAGACACTCATGAACTCCTAATCACAAAACCAAACTGTGGTCAACTAGCAAATGCATCTCTGAAGTAATCCAGGGTATGAAAATGTATCTCTAAGGAATACATTGCATTACATAACAAGTTTTAGGTTTATATTTGACTGATGTCTGAGATGTGTGGGGGGTTGGTTTGTTTTTGTGTTTTATCCAAAAGATCAGAAATGCCTGTTATGTTGGTAGTTTTGTTGCTCGAGTTAGACAAGCTCTAACAATGTGTAAAGTATGAACATTTCCTGGCTGTTGCAAAGTCTTGTAAACTGTTTTTGAATATTTTATGTCTGTTGTGTTATCAGTTTCATCCTGCAATAAGTTATAAACATTAGTGGCACTAACATCTTCAGTATGAAAAGTCCACTGTATGTGTGTGAAGTGGGAGGACAGAAGATTGATGTCGTCACTGTCTCAGCTTCTGTCTGACCGGCTGCTCCTCTCTGCTCAGTTTAATCCTGATGACAAGTCGGCACAGCACCATAACGCCCATCACTGTCTGGAGATCACAGTCAACTGCAGCCCCAACATCGACCACTGCATCATCCGTTCTACTTGCACAGGTAACACACACACACACACACACACTCACCACTTGTTACAAAAGTTGGCTGCATTAACACGGACACCTGAACTGCCCTAAAAAACTGAGGTGACAGATGTGATTTTCATTTCACAGTGTAGCATTTTCTCCAGCCTCTTTGTTTGATATGATTCAGATATTCATGTTTTCTTTTTGTTCTGTTTAGAGCCATGGTCCTCTATGGTTTGATATGCACAATGTCCCTAATTTTGGTGTGTCACTAAATGATGGTGGTGTTCCTTATTGCATTCTAGGACAAGAGGCTAAATTTGTCATATGGGTCTTTTTTTTATGAAAAATGCTACAGCTGTGAGAACTGTGGGGAAAAAAAAAAAATCAACCAATACTGGACAGTGTAACACTCATTGTTGTGTGTTCAGATCATTTGATTGTGCCATGTCTTGGCCTGATTAAGACCATTTACCATCAAATGTCTCATCATGTTTGGTATCAGTAAATGTCTTCGGAGTGATTTTTAGTGTTTTGACTTTACTTCTACCTAAAAATAAAAAAAAAACACAGCCACTGATGTTATTTGTTGGTGATGATAGTGTTGGAGTGCACCAAGGTGTTGCCAGTACTGAAATGCCAGTGTTTGTTTATGTATGTATTGACCAGCAGTGCAGTGCACGTTTCCTAGCTACTAATTACTGTATGTGTTAGTTGCTTATGTGAATGTCCATTTAATTTAGCACTAAAAATTTTTAAGGCTTCTGTCCAGATCATACAGGTGTGGCAAACAGCTGACCCACATCTGGTGTACTGAATGAACCTGTAAGCTCTGTGCTAGAAGCCGCATCTTAGTTTACATTTATGACTGCAGCCCTGGACTGTACAGTTGTGCTGAAATGTTAATTGTGTTATGAATGAGTTGATGACAATTTCGATCATCATTAAGGGTTGTAAAAATACCGTTGCATATCATTTTCTTTGGCTTTCTTTCCATACTGTAAATTGAATCAACTGATCAATTGATGATGGAAATGACCTTTACTTGCAGCCTTACTGTAGTGTGTACCTTCTGTTTGTTTTTTTTTTGTTTGTTTGTTTAGTGGGTTCAGCTGTGTGTGTGAGTGGCCAGGGAGCATGTCCAACCATCAAACACTGCAACATCAGCGACTGTGAGAATGTAGGACTGTACATTACAGACCATGCACAGGTAAAAAAAAAAAAAAAGTCTTAAAAGTACCTTTTATGGTTTGTCATAAATGTGCACAGATATTTTCATGCTTTGCTTCTGATGTTGACATTTTGTTCTTTATTCCAGGGCATTTATGAAGACAATGAAATCAGCAACAATGCCCTAGCAGGAATTTGGGTGAAGAACCACGGTAATCCCATCATTAGGCGTAACCACATCCACCATGGACGAGATGTTGGAGTGTTCACCTTTGATCACGGGATGGTAACTACACATCAGCTATGTCATGTCACATATCACTGTTGAAGAAACTTCACAGACCATCTAATTTGTCATCTTGTCTGTTTCAGGGTTACTTTGAGAACTGTAACATCCATAGAAACCGTATAGCAGGCTTTGAGGTGAAGGCCTATGCCAATCCCACAGTAGTGCGTTGTGAGATTCACCATGGCCAAACAGGAGGCATCTATGTGCATGAGAAGGGGCGGGGACAGTTTATAGAGAACAAAATCTATGCTAATAACTTCGCTGGTGTGTGGATCACATCCAACAGTGACCCAACAATACGGTGAGCGCAGGCTGCTATTGTTACAGACTGTCAGAAAAGGCCAAAAGATACAGTTGTGTAGGAAATCTGATTGCACTATTTTTAGCATCTTTTCACCACCATCATTCTATCTACATGTGTGTGTTTATTTCAAGATTGTGACTGTTCTTTTGTTTTATATCCAGGGGAAATGCTATATTCAATGGCAACCAAGGAGGTGTGTACATATTTGGTGATGGGCGGGGTTTGATAGAGAATAATGATATCTATGGCAACGCCTTGGCGGGAATCCAGATCCGAACCAACAGCTGCCCCATTGTACGACACAACAAAATCCACGATGGGCAGCATGGCGGCATCTATGTGGTAAATAAGTCCTTCAGTTTACCAGCAAATATGAAATATCTGTGTAGTATTTGGTCATTTTTATTTATTTATTTTAATAAGCTGATCATGCTTTGTGTTTCAGCATGAGAAAGGCCAGGGGGTGATCGAGGAGAATGAGGTTTACAGCAACACGCTGGCCGGCGTCTGGGTGACCACAGGCAGCACTCCTGTCCTCCGCAAGAACCGCATCCATAGCGGGAAACAGGTAAAAGCGACACAGCTGAATGTGTTGGCTTCATGTCAGATGAGGACCCTGGTCACCTGTTTTATCCATTTATTTTAATTTTATTATTATTATAAAAGTCGCAATGGCGGTCTTACTTGGTCTGACCTAGTAACATTTAGGTTTCACTTTCAACATGGCACAAGTTGGAATTGTGTGAAGTCTTGCTAACAAAATTATGATGTAGGATGTTATGTAGAGTGGACCTACCAATCACAACAGTATAGATGTCTGTGTGGTGTAGAGTGGACCTACCAATCACAACAGTCTAGATGTCTGTGTCTCTTGTGTGGCTCTGAGATGCTTACCTCGATAAAAAGCATGATTGTTTTGGAGACTGTTTAAACAAAAACAATATGAGAAATATTTCTCCTGGCACACGCAGTTGTCCACCATGTTGTAATAAGAAAAATGCCTTCATACATTATCCGTCACTTGATGTAATGTCCAGTTTCATGCTTGCGGCAAATATCGCACACGTACCCACAGCTCTCTCCACCAAAGTCATGGGTATGTCTGAAGCCTGGAAGGCCACCACTTTAACAGATCAATGAAGCAGCCTGTCAGTATTTATTGGAACTGTCTCAACACTAATACAGTTCACGCCCTTTGTTATGAATCTCATGTCTGAAAAGGGCTTCACCTCATGATTAATTTTCATGTGGCAGAACCAGCTATAGTGAAGCTACTCAGTGTAGATTTGTAGTGATAATACATTTTTTGTGAAGCCTGACTGATGTTGATATATACTGCTAAGAATTACAAAAGAAAAGTATAATTATAGTGCAATGCCACCCTTTCTGAATTTCCATCCTACTGTGAGACTTTGGCTCTTATTAGTTGCATACTGTGTGGTTTTAAAAAGTCTTAAATGTAACTTGGTGAACCCTGCAGAAATCCTTTTGAGGGATTCAGGTTATGGTTTATGTATAAACATCCTAGTTGTAAATAACCCAGGTAAATTTTGATAAAAGGTGTACTCGGATGACAGTGATGTGTATGTGTACTTTTACTCTTGTTTTGTGTGTTAACAGGGAATATTTATGCTAACTGGCCTATTGTAAAGTGTGAGACAAGATTGCAGGAAAAAGTAAAATGTTGATACAGATGCCCTCAGTTAGCTCTTGGCTAGAATATAATACTCCATTTATGCACATGTCAACACTTGTACATTTTCCAAAAATATTGTTTCTGAATAAAACAATTGTAATACTTTGATCATCAAAAATGGTGGTAACTAAGGTCTCCAGCTGTACTTCAGTTCACTCAGTTTTTAATACCACTACTGTCGACTATGATTCAGGAAAAAATATTTCTATATCAGATCTACGGTGTCCTTAGTTTACCTTTTTTGTCTCCTAAAGAAATTTGTGATACACCCTCATGTTCATTTAGCACTGTGATCTGCTGCTGCTGCTGCTACTTTCAGCAGTTCTCGTTAGGGGACGCCACAACGAATTAGCTGCTCGCATGTATACATTTGGCAAGCGTTTTACGGCGGATGCCCTTCCTGACGCAACCCAAATTGGGATGGATACATACAGTGGGTACGGAAAGTATTCAGACCCCCTTAAATTTTTCACTCTTTGTTATATTGCAGCCATATGCTAAAATCATTTAAGTTCATTTTTTTCCTCATTAATGTACACACAGCACCCCATATTGACAGAAAAACACAGAATGTTTGACATTTTTGCAGATTTATTAAAAAA